CCCCAAAACCCCAAAACCCCAAAACCCCAAAACCCCAAAATTAATAAGGGTAATAGAAATATAAAATTATCTACTTATGACTGATAGAAATGGGTATAAGAGGTAGGCTTTGTTGGTAAAAATATAGCCTAAATTCTGATTTATCTCCTTTACAACCTCGTAGAATGCAAATGAGTAAGTTCATATTCAAAGTTTCATTAGAAATTTTGAAGTTATCTTAGACATCTGGGTTTGTGATAATAAATTATATACAGAATGATTTGTGTCCCAAAATGTTTCCACTTCGGATTCTCCAGTTACAAAATGATCGAGAGGGGCTACTTTGGTGATTAAGCCAATTAAGTTTTCTCCTAAGAAAGAGCTGAAGCTAAATAGTACCCAACTCAGCCTCACAATGGAAGGTAGAGAGAAAAGTAAGAAAGTTATGATAATCTTATAGAATTCAGAGGCATCCGTAGAGCATTGGTACATTTCCACTGATAATTTTCAGAACAATGGAACTAGACAAAAGCTTATAAAACTAAGTAACATAATCCAAAACTAATCTGAACAAACACAAAAGTTTACAAAACAGCCCCATCATTATAAACCCCCTTACACGACGCAATAAATCCCTCCAAGAAGCCACCAGGTAAACTGACACCCCCACTCCAATCCCTCCACCCCAACTTCCCACTCCTTAACAAAAGTCCATTCCATCCCCAATTTCCCACTAAAATTTCCAAGTCTTTTACTAAGCACCAGTTCAAAAAATAAAATTTACTTAAAATTTTTAAGTTGTGAAGGATTAGTAGAGAAAGTAGTTTTTTTGTACTGGGTTGTGAACTTTATGTAGGCAAGGTTTAGGAGGAAGATGGTGTCTGGATTGGATGTGGTGGTGTTTTTTGGAAGAGTAAATAATAAGCAAAAAATATCATTTTTTTCAAAATTTTTATAATTTAGGGAGTTTTGGGGTATAAATGCATCTTTTTTTATATAAATCAGTCTCGAGGGAATAGTCAAAGAGGAAATCGGTGGATATCTTGATAATCATTTAGACATTTAATCGTTATAATAGAAGAAAGTCTCTTTAGCTTTCATCAGAATCTGAGGCAATACTCTCAGGCTCAGGGTTAGAAATCTTAGTAGAAGACCACTGTGGGATTTGGGACAAAACAAATGAAACTTTAAATGACTGGGATTTTTAGGAGAAAACTCATTTTGGTATAGTTTTAGTAAAGAGATTTTTGAGGATGAGAAAGAGAGTAGAAGAAAGAAGCGAGAGAAGTTAACGTCGGAAGGTATGGCGTTAGGATTGGACATGTGTATGTTTTTGATATAGAGAGAAAATCGGAGTCAAGATTCGAGTTTTTGAAGGCGTTTAAGACAGATATAATGTCACATAAATAATTCTTATATTAGCTTGAAAGATATACGGTGAGTTTGGTTTTTTGTGATTTTTAGAGAGAAACATAGGAAATAAAGACCTGATAGATGCAATGATTTCTAAGAAAGAGAAACTTAATAAGGAAAAATAAGTATGCTAAGATGCTGACTCCAACTATCCGGAACAGTAGAGTTTTGAACAACCTTGGAAGTGCATTCAAAATCACTAGGGTGAAGTCTAAAAAGCCATCACATTGGGATTCACAACAAATTAGGCCTAGTTTATTTCCTAAAACAGGTGAGCAGGCTATTGAGGGATTCAAAGTCACAAGGAATCACCTCAAATGTTTAGATCCTTGAGATAGAAGATATAATATTGATGTTAATCTTCCTACACAAAGTCAAGAATTTGGGTATCAACTTGCAAGGTCAAAACCAATTCTTTCTAAGAATGACTTTAGTAGTAGTACTGAAAACATCAGGAATATTGGTCTTCAGGCGAGTACCCAAGATCTCCTCCTAAACGGAGAGAATAACGAGTATACTTACATTGAGCAAGAACGGAAGGGAAGAACAGTTGTATTCAAAAATCTTTCAATTTAGACAGATGAAATTGGGGTTTTGGGGTTTTGGGGTTTTGGGGG